ATGTTGTTTAATTTCCAGGTAATTGTAAATTTTCTGAAATTCCTATTATTGATTTCCAGTTTCATGTAACTGTGATTGAAAAGGTGTCTGATATAATTTCAATCTTCTTCAATTTGTTAAGATTTGTTTTGTGGCATAACATATAATTTATCCTAGAAAATTATCTGTTTGTGCTGCTGAAGAATGTGTATCCCACAGCTGTTAGGACGTTCTGTATGTGCCTGTTAGAACTAATGTATTTGGTCTCAAGTATGGCTCTCCCACTTTTTGGCTTGCCTGGGCCATGCTGAGTGAAAAGGGACTGTCTTGGGTTGCATCTAAAATATATAATATAGTTAATGTACATAGATAACAAACTTCCTTTTTTGTATTTTAATTTACTAAATTATTTTTATAAAATAATACAATGAGCCTAAGTTATTAAACTAAATAAGAAAACTTACACATTTGCTAACAAGAACAAACTCTGGTCTTCTCCGGCACACACTTGTATAGATAGGTAGGCTGAAATCCTATTACTGGTAACTACTGCAGTTTACTCTCCAAGTCACACAAACAAATGCAACTGATATGTGTGGGTTTCTATTTGACTCACTGCACTCTGTTCTACCCTATACAGCCTTCTATCGTCACCTACACAGTCCATATGCAAGCACCATGCAGCCAAATCATGAAAAATATTGCTAAAATCACACAATAATGTTAAAGTTTATGATATTCTCAGACCACATTACTAGTTGCCCAGGGCTTCATGTGGCCCATGTGTTGAACACATTTGAACACAGGCAGTCTAAAGTGTATTTTAAGCCTGGTATTTCCCTATTGATTTTCTGTCTTGATCTTCCTGCTGCTGAAAGTGGGTCATTGCAGTCTCTACTGTTTTTGGATTACAGTTTATCTCTCCCTTCATGTTTATTAATATTTGTTTTATATTTTTAAGTGCTCCAATGTGGGTGTATATATAATTGCTAGATCCTCTTGAAGAATTGAGGATATAATAATATTTTAACATTTTTGGCTCTTTTTACAGTTTTTGATTTAAAGTTTATTTTATCTGATTTAAGTGTAGCAATCCCAGCTATATTTTGGTTTCCATTTACACTGATATCTTCTTCCATCTCTTCACTCCCATTCTATGTGGGTCTTTAAGCCAGAAGTGTGTCTCTTATAGGCAACACATAGTCGCTATGGGTCTGTTTTCTAATCCATTCAGCCATTCTGCTGTTTGACTGGAGAATTGAATCCACTTATATTCAAGGTAATTATTCACAGGTAAAGAGTTCTACTGCCATTTTGTTAATTATTTTCTGGTTGTTTTGTAGCCTCTTTGCTCTTTTCTTTTCTCTTGTTGTTTTTCTTTGATTTTCTCAAGAGATATGCTTTGATTTCTGCCTTCTCACCCTTTGTGTATCTGATGTTTTCCCTTTGCGATTATCATCATACTTACATAAAACATAGTTTAACGGGCTATTAAAAGCTGGTAACAATTTTAACCACATACAAACTATACTTTTACTCTACTCTCCCCAACATTTTATGTTTTCAATTCACAATTTACATCTTTTTAAATTGAATATTTCTTAATGCATTATTTTGGCTATGAGTATTTTTACAGTTTTATCTTTTAATCATCTTACTAAAGACATAAGTGATTTATATACCAACATTACAGAACTTAGAGTATTCTGAATTTAACTGTATAGTTAACTTTTGCTAGAGAGTTTTATACTTTCATATGTTTTCATATTACTAATATTAATGTGGCATATTACCTAGGTTGGAAAGTCCATAAAACCTATGCATAGCCCAACGAATTAATGTAAGGTACACATCAGTGTAAATACCACACAGGTCAAGAAAATAGTGTTTCATAAGTTCCCACTTACCCCTTCCTAATCTCAACCCTCTCCTACACCCAAAAAGGTATACTCTTCCAATTTTTAATTGAATTTTTATAGTAATCACTCTTTACTTTTCATTTTATCTTTACCTTCTAGATATGTATTCCTAAGATTAATAGTTTAGTTCTGCTGGTTTTAAACTTTATACATTTAGGCTCATACTGTAGACTATTTTTGGATATGACTCATTTGGAGACATTTTATTTGTGAGATTCATCCATATTATTATATTGAGTTCTATTTCATTCATTTTTCAGTGTTGTAGAGTGGGGCGTGAGGAACTTTTCCTGCACAGGGCCTGAAAATAAACATTTTAGGTTTTGTGGACCAAAATATATTCATATAACAGGAGAAAAAACAAATTCTCACAAAATGTTTATAGATAAAATTCAAAATTTCATAAGAGTAATCAACTATAGCTTGTTGTAGTACAAGTCTACCAATTAGAAGAATGGAATTCTTATTCAAGTGGGATAACATTTTGCTTAATTGGGGTTCAAGGCATCAAAGTCGACTGCAACCTTTATCTGTTAGCAGTGACGTGTAGTAAGATTTTCCCCTAGTTTATCTCATCCCAATCTCATCTTGGAAAGGTCTTTTTACAGATAAGTACTGCCAATCCTCACATCAGTCCATGAGCATATGTCTTTAATTGTGCATACTTATTGCTTCGAAGGCATCTGTGGAATCCTATTAGATCCTTTTCTTGATATTTGCCATTTAGCATGTTGTTACAATGCAGGTAGTCACTACCAATTGAGAATTCGGTGGACTTGGCTCTGTTGTATAGTTCAATGGATTTTGAAGTATGGAAATTTCCTTTGTACTCACTTCAAGATCTGAAAATGCTACAAGATATGTACTTTAAGCTTAAAATCTCATGATTTCTGCAGCAAAGGCTAATTTCCAAAGCCATTCAGTGTTTTAACACTGTTTTTACAGGGTGGAGTTGTTTTGGGTTTTTTTTACTTAGAAAAAGCTCAGTCCTGATCCTGAGCTTAAAAATCATGCTAAAACTTTCCCACTCTCAACCAGTAAATGTCAGTGTGGTACGGTAAATCAAGATATTAAGCTTCTATTTCTGACCCCCTCCCCCAAAATGGAACTGACTATAGCACATAAAAGGGGGTGAATTTTTACCATTGACACAAGCTGGTTAAACAACACATGATAGATTCAAAAATTCCCCAACAAGGAAAAGGATATCTACCAGAAATCTAATGCAGACATTCTGTGAGAAATTTAGTCTTGCATTTGGGGGTCCTCTAAGTTTCAATCCAGCATGCCAGCACACACAGAGAATAAAAGCTCTTCTGGGTTCTATTTCTCCTGGCAAAGTCCCTCTGCCTTTGGGAAGCCTAACTCTTAGCCTGTGCTCAGACTTAGCCCAATATCCCAAGGGAAGAAAATAGATAGTAGTAGCAGATCACTTAAGAAAGACTCTTTTTTTTCTCTATGATTTTAATTCATCTTATTCCCTGTATTTCCACAGCTCTCTAATGTCTTTAAAAATTCCCTTTATAATGTAGCCATTATTTTCTCTAATTGTTGCAGTGAGAGATGAGTTGAAGCTACCTACTGCATCCTACCTACACTAGTCAGACACATGACGGTTTTGTTTTATTAATTTCTGTTATTTTTGTTATCTTCATTTTATTTTTTGGATCTAATTTGATGTTCCTTTTCCAATTTCTTGAAAAGGATTATTTAATCTCGTTTTCAGCTTTTCTACTCATTTTCACATAAGCTACTTTGGCAGTATTCCACAAATCTGATGTGCGACACTTTGGACTTTTTCAGTTCAAAATATCTTCTAATTTCTGTCCTGATATTTTTTGATGAACAGACTATTTACAAATATACTTTTTAATTTCTCAATATTAGAATTATATCATTCCTAGATTCACTACATTTTTAATCAGAGAACAAATTTTGTATAATTTTAATTACAGCATTTGAAAATTGGTTGAGACTTGCTTTATTGCCCAGTACATAAGCAATTTTTGTAAATGTTCTGATTGTGCATTAAAAGAACATGCATTCTGTAGTTGCTGAGTGTGATATTTTATAAATGTCCATTACATTTTGTTAAAATTATTTATCTCAAATATTCCATTAAAATTTTTTTCTCCTCAAGTCTCAATGCCATTCCCCAACATGACAGCACATATAGGACACAGGAGCAAAAAATGTGCTTCTGGCCTTTCCCCTTCTCATCAGAATTTTACTTTCAGTTGACTCTAGCTCTGTTATCTTGGTAACCTGATAGTTAAGGTGGTATGTGTTAATTATGTTACTAAGAAACTTAAACTACTTTGGGCAAAAATGATGTCTGAGTGGTAAACTCCATCTAGAATGGGAGAAATAAAAAACATATTATCAATGCCTAAGAGGAAGTTTACAAGCAGTTCTGGCCTGTCAGGTGTGAAGCTTGTAAACCAGGATAGCTCCTGAAGCTATCCAATATGAGTCTCTTCCTTCTTGAGCTCTGTAATTTGGGGGCCAAAGAAAGTGGCCATGTGTCCTGCACAGTATAAGCTTCTCTGGAATAGAAGTACCTGATGCTGCCCTGCTGGAAGCCGTTTCCTGTCTTATGTCTTGCTGAGTAAGTCCATGCCAAATGTGGGGTGTGTTAGTCTTGTGAGGATGAACACTCAGTTGAATCTACTACCAACCCCTGGTGGGCAGTGTAGAAGACACTGGGCTGAACTGGGGCAGGCTCTGTTCCTCGTGCTTTGCTAATGACTAGCATGGTACATCGGGGCATACCTTGTTCTCCTCCATGGGAACAAACTTTTAAAAACAATGCTCACACATTCTGTAGCTTTATTTGTGATGGAGTACAGCTATATGGTAAAGAACTCATAGAAAGCATCTAGAGTTTTGATTTCTAGATTACAAGAGTCCAATCGCTGTCACATCAACTCTAACTATAATAATTCAACAATAGGTGCCCCAACCTAGATGGCATAGGCCAAGTGAAATGGAAGTGCTTCGTTTTCTTCAACAAGGGACAATCTGTTCACATTGTGCACAAAGCTGAGCAAGGCTATTTCTCCTCCTCTCTCTGCTTCCTTCCTAATGGAAAAGCACACTTACCTTAGCTGTTAGTCTCATTTTGAGTTTTTTCTTCAAGTATCTGGTCAGCATTTGAGACCTCATCTTGCTGTTGCTCAGTAAAGCTCTGCTGGAGCATGGTTTCTGTGTGCCTGTGGATGATCTGATGAGCTGCAAGAATGTGCTTCCGCTGCGAATTCCTCACTGTGCCAAAGCAACAGAAGAATTCTTACTATGAAAGTCTGAATGAAAGCATTCCCAATGTTTTTGAGAGAGTGGTGACAAGAATGATAATTTGCAAACCATGTATTTTCTGACTTTGGACAGACTGGATTAAATAAAAATTACCTGCTTTCTGTTTTAGAAGGACACCTTCTAAAGGTAAACCAATCCCATGCCTTGCTTCTTCTGCTCCCACTATTTGCTGTCTTTGGCTCAGTCCAGTTAGTTCCTCCCTTCTGGGCTTGCCTCCAACCCACCTCGCAGAGCTCCTCTGGAATGCCTAAATCCTGCCCTTTTGCAAAACCCAGCCCAAGTCCCAGACCCTCCAGGAAGTCTGCTCTGATTGGGTCAGTCCACACTTACCATCTACCATTTGTTCAAATCCAGGCAGCATCAAAGCACTTCATATGATGTTTTCTAACTACAGATAAGTGGTTACAAATGACAGATTACCCTCACGGAGACGCTGGTCTTGTACCTCTGTTTGAACCTTAGTTCCTAACATAGAGGATAATATTCGCTGATGAAGAATATCTGAGTTCATGGCTTTAAAAGGTGGTCCTAGCTCCAAACTCTACAAATATTTATTATTGAGTCTTAGTACAGACAATTTTAAACAACTAAGCCCTTGAAAAGGAGAGGTATTGATCTCGATGATGATGATGACGATGATGATGATAGGAGCAGTTAGCATTTGTCCTTGTTTTGTGCCAGCCACCAATTTAAGCAGCTGCCATGTAATTATTCATTTAATTCCCCCACAATCCTAAAATAAAGTATTATCAATAACCCCATTTTCAGAAGAAGAAACAGACATAAAGAGGTCAGGTTACCCAAAGTCATACAGCTGGTAAATGACAATAAGAAGTAATATGGACTTTTTTGCTACTCGGGTATCAACTTTACATCAGGTAATTCACACAGCAGCTTACTGTACTTTGCAGTGGTATGGTTGAAAAAGTACGGGTTTTGGAGCCACAAGATCATGACTCAACTCTGCAAGTCATGTGTTTCCACCACTAATTTCCTTAACTTGAAAAAGAGAATAAACCTACAGCTGTTGTAGGAAATCAAGATTATGTACATTTTCAAATCCTTAGTGTACTGCCTGGAACATAGCATGTATTTAAAATTTGGCAGCTACTGTTATTTTACACCTGTCTTTATATGTTTCTTTAAGGCCTTTCTGATCCTTCAACTTTTTAAAAAGTGAGATATCTCAAAGTGGTTATGTATAAATTATGTTAATTTTCCATAAAGAGGACCTATAATACATATAGTTTTCTTTTGTGAAAAGAAGAACGAAAGTTCCTAGTGTGTACCCCTCATCTATAGGGCTTTTGTGATTTGGCATAAATGTAGTGGGAAAAGGCCATGCACTTGCCCAACTTGCCCACAGACAATTCCTACTGGATTCCTGTCAGTTAAATTCCTTCTCCAAATCTTTCCTCTCAAATCCAGGAGGATTTATCAAATATTAAACCTGCTATTTTCTTATCTCCTTCAATTTCCCCCAGAAGAATGGTTTTGAAGCAGGCTGACCTAACTGTGGATCTGGGAGAAGTAGAAAAGAGTTGCACATTTTCTTAAGGAACTAGAAAACAAGATCCCTTTTATCATATAAGGGGTACAGAAATCTATACTACTTGGCTTGAAAATGAAACTTTGTTGGTATAGGCACTTTTATACAGTGTTGATGGGAATGGAAATTAGAACAATGTTTTTGGGGGACAATTAGGTAAACTCCACTGAAATATAAAATGCATATTTCCTATTTGCTACCAATTGCACTGCTAGGAATTTACTCTCAGAAGCATGGCCAAGATATATGCAAAATGTATTGATTGTAGCAATATTAAGTAATAGAAAAAAATGCTAGAAGCAAACTAAGTGCTTCTCACTAGGAGGAATTGGTTTAAAAATCATACAACCTGCTGGGTGGCACTCCTCTAATCCCAGCCCCCAGGAGACTGAGGCAGGATCACCAGGAGCTCAAGGCCAGCCTTGGCCTCAAGGTCAGCCTGAACTACACAGAGAGACCCTGTCTCCAAAAAAACGGTAGTTCTTCATTCTAAAGTGTTAGCACTCCCCCATCCCTTTGTCCTTCAGTAAGCAATAAAATATTGCACACTTTTTTACTTAAACCTGTCCAGAAGTCCCCTGTACAACCCTGAAAATGTCTGAGCCACTTTTTCATATAAACATTGATCTTGTCCTAATTGGACCTCCTTGTGGGATCACACCTTCTGCCAATAGTCTCAGAGCTCTGGAAGAATCTTCTTTTTCATTTTAAGAGAAATTTTTCTCTCCATCTCTATCGTCTAAACACATCAATCTTTCAAAACATGCTACTTTCACTTCTGACAAATGACAGCTTGGGGCATTTATACTTAGCTATAGTCCCAGTAGGAACCTGTTATTTTTGATTCGGGGAGAGTAGCAGAATAGATTCAAACCCTTTGGGCATTCCCACTTCTCAATGCCCACAATTCACATGTCCTGACTGAAAAAAGCTGCTAGGGCTTGAATCACAGAATAAATCTCTTCTGGGAACAGATCTTGATAATCTGTCAAGCTTATTAGAAGCTCATCCCAACTCTACCAGAGGAGATTATATTCTACAATCAGATAGAAAAAAGAGAACTTGACAAGTTCTGAAACAAGAAAACTCAGTCTTTAGTCATCAGAAATTTCCCCATACCTCTGTTCAGTTTTAAATCTCTGGGACACTGAAAATAATTGGCATCACTTTGAAAACCCTAGAGTGAGACATCTCTGTTACCTTTCTCTTTGATAAAGTCCTTTTGCACCTCTGGGATCAGAAAACTATAAACCAACTCAGCAACAATCTCCTCTGACTGAAGATGAGTTCGTCTAAAAAACGTAAAAAAATTAAATGATTTCCTTTTTCCCCTTGAGTTGCTGACTTATACTTAGATCTTTCTTGCTTTATAAAAACTCCACTGCCTCAGTCTTGCTATCACATTTTCCTTGATTGAATGATCTGAAATATCATATTCCTGGAGAGCTGGTTTAAATTCCATGGAAAATCTGGATTTGACCATATCCTTAATTTACTGGCCTACTAGAGGGAGAATTCTAGAAATACAGCTTATGCATAGAAGCCAAAAACTTTGGGATCAAATCTAAATAGTGTTGCACACACATATGTATATTGCGTTCATACCTTGGAATATTCTGAAAGTTCACAGTATGAAAGTAATCCAGGCTACAGAGCACAGCTGAGAATTTAATTCCCAGTGCCCCTACCATACAGGGGTATAGGCATGCTAACTTCTGAAGAGTTGTGCTAATAAAACAATGGACACCAAAGCATGAGTTTGTTTCTCCTAAGTGGTGAAATCTTAAACTACTGAAAAATTACATATGAACAACAACAGCAGGTGGCTGTCCATTCCACAGTCTATCTCGGGTGCATACCGACTTTCCATTTCATATGCGATGTCATTGATTTCCTCTGCCATCTTTTCTATTTCTACTCTGGCTTGTTCTTCCGCAGTATTCTCTTCAGTATTCAATATTATGTCTTCCAGATAGGAGGTTACAGTACTTCGGTGAACTTTAATCACCTGCAAAAAGCAAAAGTGTCCCTACTTACTAAGAACACCTACTGTAAACAGGACCAAAGAAACAAACATTGACTGACCATTTTTTAAAAGCCTACATATTTCATTCGTAAAGTAGAAATCCAATGCTTATTTTGTCGAATAAAATGAAAAGCAAAAACCCAAGGCCATTTTCTATCAAGTGTCCTTCAGTTTGACAGGCTCCTTCCAGGAGCGTCTGGACACTTGGCGGCCCCACTTGCCTCCTTAAACATTTGATCCTCCTCCAGCAGGCGCCTGTGCTCCCCCTGGCGCCGGCCGCTCTCCTCTGCCTCCCGCATCCGCCGCTGGCGCTCGGCCAGCATGGCGAAGGCGTGGATCCGCCTCTCTTCTTGCAGTCTCATGAGCTCTTTGGACAGGAAGTCAAGCATGTCTGCCAGCGCCCTTCCTTCCAGGCCAGCCAAGTGGTTTTCAAGCAGTGATACCTTGAAAAGAATAATAATGCAACTTGAAGGATACAAATTCCACTGCATAATTTTTAAGAGAGCTGGGTAACTCTGAACTCTGGAGAGTCAATTCACTGTCAGAATGCGTTTAGTTTTTATTAGGATTGGCCCTATCCCAAGGGGCTATACCAGGAAAACTTATTACAAATTTAGATATGAACTAATAGATTGCTCAGTCAGTCACTATGGATCACAGTCCTCAAATTATGAAGAGGATTTGGCAAAACGTTTCTGTTACCAGTCACACAAATGTATTGTTTTGTTTCAATTTCATCCAGGTCAAGAGTATCTTCCCAGACATGAAGGAAAATCTCAGGGTTCTTATTAAAGATGTTGATGTTGAATACAGTAGAATCTCCTAGAAATTCACTCATGATACCTTTTAATTTTTTAATGTCTGCTCTTTTCACACAAGTTTGAGGAATTTCAAGATCCTGAATAACATGGAAGTAGACAATTTTATCTTTAATAATTTCAAAGTCATTAACAACTATCTTTGAAACAGTACAGGAAAAATTTTATGTGTTTGCTGAGGTAAAATAAGCAACTCATGGAGCTCTCAGCCAGGAGTAAGCCATGGTATCTCTATGGATCTGTGTCTTGGCTTTGACACATGGTGCAAAGCATGTAAGGTGATTTCTCCTGTGCCTGGCCTATCCTCAGGCATACGGGAAAGGGGCTCTTATTCCAGCTATATGCTGCTTTAACATTGGCCAAACCCCTTTTGCTCAATTCCCTTTCCGGTTTGTACACAGAAGGACGGGATTCTCACAGGTCTCAAGGGCAATATGGCTTTTGGTGAGACTGTCGCCCAGGTGCAGTCATCAGCCCCAACAAGCTCATGCTCACCCACTTGCCAGGCCACCTGTACTTTCTAGCCTCGAAGTTCAACTGTACTTATATACTAGGAAACAATGGAAAGAATGGGTGAGACTAGAGCATTTCACTACTTTGTTCATAATGGACATTTGGCCCAGAGATCACAAGTGGATTCTCTCCCTGTCTCCAGATCACTTAGGGGATAGTCATGAATCTTCAGGTCCTAGTACTGCAGACAGCTAAGTTAGTTAGAAATTATTATAAGGCAGTTAGACAAAGCTGGGCCTTCAGCATAGAAAAACAATTGAGGCATATTCACTGTCCAGTATTATAAAAAGAAAAGAGGTGCTACTTCCCCTAGAGATGAATAGCAGTGATTGATATTCTAAATAGACATCAATCTCCCTAGCCCATTTCCTTTCTGGAAATTCCTTTCCATCTGATCCCCATTTAAACTGTATTACCTGGGTGACTGTACTTGTAGTCTGACTGGTTGCTCACGGTTTTGTTCCACCTCATGCTCACCTTGTAATTTTCCATTGCATCTTGCAGTTTTGTCTCACCTTGACCCCACTTCACCTTGTGGCTTTGCTCAATAAAACACCTTTGAAAAGCAAGGAGGGTGGGCAACCCACTTTCCAGTCCCCGTTCCATCTCTCTTAGACAGAAGCTATCTTTCTCTCAATAAATTTTTTCTACTCTTAATCTTCATTGTTCCTAAAATTCATTCTTTGATTTTAGAGAACATGAACTTGCATTTCAGATATCTAGCAGGTTGGGAGATATAATATTTCCCGTTTGGATTATATTTGCTTATTTCGATAGCATCTTTTGATTATTTGATGCCCTAAATCACTAGAAGCGGGGCATGGTAGGTTGCAACTGTACTCCCAGACTCTGGAGGCTGAAGCAGGAGGACTGCCTCGAGCTCAAAGCCAGCCTGGGCTATGTAAGAAGGGCACTGTCTCAAGAAACCAAACAAACAAATAACCCTTCAGGTCCTAAGATGGCCACCTGTTCATTTCCAGCCTCCTTCTTCAGCCTTGGGGACACTCAGGTAGGACAATCTAATTTGAAGTTAAGTAAACACATTTGGGAAGGTGATTCCCCTGCAGTCATGTCACATAATGGATCACATAACTGGGCACTGTGTATTGGTTTGATGTTTTCTCACAAAAATACAGGAGGAAAAGGGGAGGATCAGCATTGCTGTGAGTGTATGTGATGCTCCCCTCTCTCAGAGCCCTGAAGATTGTTAGTGTTCTTGGGCAGAACTGGAGCAAGTGGTCCTCGGCTACATAATAGCTTTACCCACCCGCTCTTCCCTTCATTCTTATTTGACATGGTCAGTCTCGGGACAAGTGAGTCGAAAGCCAGTTGGCTTAGCTGCACTTGCTAAAGTCCATTATTAGGAACCTTGAAGAATGGCCAAGGAGAGAGTTCTTCTGCCTAGTCTCAGCACCTATGCTTTCGTGACACCTAGCTCCAGACCTGAACATTTCTGGGGCTCTAAGAGCTCCAGATTCCAACAACCATTTGTCTACATTCTCATCCTCCTCTGGGCCCTCTGTTGGGTCCCACAGACTTGCTTTTTTACTCTCTTTCTGCATCACCTCCACACCTGCTTCCCCAAGCTCAGTGACCAATGACGGCAATGCCAACAAGGAAAAGTAAAGTCATGGTCATTTCCAAGCTTTCTGGCACTTGTATTCAATTCCCATGTAACACAAAAGTTATGATGTGAGCAAAGGTGGATCAAATTAACATTGCTGTAGATGTTACTTTCTTCTAACACTAAGTTCTGCAAATTGTTTTTCAGATTGACTTACAGATAAGCAGGGAAAGGAGTAAAAGTATTTATACTACAATCAACAACATTAAAAAGGGTATATACTTAGACAAATGCTGGAAGAGAATGGGAAAAACATTTATAGTAGCTGGTTTACAGCTGCAATTCTTAGCTGCTTCAGGTAGCAGAGAAGGAGGTCAGTATGAAAGTTACCAAACACCTTGAGATAGCCACATATATTGACAGGCAGTTTAATCAGAATGAGCTGTATATGCTACACAATTCAGTGGTACTGATGTTTAAAATAAATCACTTTTCACTTTGTCATGTTGTTCTTATTTCTATTCATTCTGCTAAAAGTTCTTAATAATTAGAATATAGTAGAGTTACCAAATATTTAAGAAAAATTGGATTGGGAAAAAAAGAATCAAGATATATTATGTACAGGTACAAATTCTGTATAATGAATGTGATCATTATGTATATCTAAAGTATACCAATAAAATTAATTTAAAGAAGTTATGAACTTGAAAAAAAAGAAAAAGAAAAAGAAAAATTGGAAGGGAAATTTTTAAAGTTGAAAAAAATGGATTTGTTTGGTTTTCAGGTTTTTAAAAAATTTTTACAAAGAAAGAAATTTGATGAACATACCCCACCCTGCTTCAAATTATGGGCCGCAGCAGTATTAAGAATGCTGATAGAGTACTGAGATTCTAGGGGGTTTTAATTATTTCATTTAATGTTATAATGTTGCTTGTGCAATTAAAACAAAAACAAGAAGGAAAAGAGAGAACCTTATGCTCATGCAAGTTTCTCTGCCGCTGTAAGGCCAGGATCACTTGCTTCTCAGCTTTTTTCACCAGCTTCTCATCTTCTTGTAATGCGTGGCTGGTGCGCAGCTCCTGGATCAACTCCAGTCGCTTTTCTTTCCCTTCAAACATCTGGAGCAAATAAATCAAAGACAGACTTACATGTTACCAGTGTTGGTGCCAAGCACTGGGAGTCACGTGCTGCAATCCCTGCGACTTTCCAGAACAGCAGCCCGTCCTGCCTTGAGCACTCCTGAGGCAGGTGGGCTCCATGGGGCTAGAACTGGACCCTTTCCTCCACCTTCAGCTTGGCTCAGTTTTCAGCGAGCTGATTGCTCAGATTCTGAAAATGCCTCTTAGAGACAAGGTGACAACTACAAGGTCATATTAAGAAACTAGAACCTTCTCCTTCATTTCTTGTGGTCCATCCCTAAGAATCCTGGGGATGGCCTTTATCACAGCCACGATTTTGTTTTCGATAAATGTGCCACTGGTTTGTAATGCACAATCTGCTATCTGAACTTCACGGGGCATTTCTCCTGGAAAAATAGGAAAAGAAGCTAAAGAATACAAGTGAAGTACAAGATGCTTCTTCACCAGCTCACCTGGACTTGCTCATCACAACTGAGTGCTTAAGAATTACAGTAGTGTGGGAAAAGATGAACTGGGGCTGAATACAGTGCATTTGTAAAGTGAAATGTGCCTGGCTAAGGCTCTGCGGTCAGGAAGATCAGAGTTAAATTTGCTGGCGATTGACTAAACCTCTCTCAGACTCAGATCATTTGCCTAGAAGATGAGATTCCTAATTCTAAAAAACTAAAATGAGAAAATATACACAGCACAAAGAATGTATGACATGGGGATATAAGAGGGGTTTTAAATTGCACCTATTAACTATTTCATTTTATAATGCAGGTATTGCTAGCTATATACAAACTCAAATAATTATACGGAGACTTGGAAAATTAGAGAATCCATTTGTTTTGTAATGCTTTAATAGTGAAAATTCAAGTGAGAAAATTTGTGGCATAATTCCAAGGAATAAGTAGGTTTTACATTGCCTTAGTCAGAAATGTGGCATGTAACACATATCCTTCCTCTCTCCTTCCTCGACGTTTTGCTACCCGCCTTGACAATGATGGCTGTAGAAGGGTGTGGGTAGGTGATTCAAAGGTATAGCTGTATAGGACAGCAGGGGCAAGGGGACTTCACCCCAATGAACGGAGAACGTATGCATTCTAAAAACTTTATTCTCAAATGAAAGACACAGGGCCAGTGGTGGGCCCTACATACCATGTTCTGAACGACCCTGCCACGCAGTAACTTTTGAAGGTAGATCACAGCCATTTCTATGTCTTCTTCTTCCTGAAAGAACAAAGCGAGAAATAAGCAGCTTGAGAATAGCAGCCGTCTAAGCATCAAATATTTTTTCAAAAAGAGAACAACAGGCCAATCTCACTAATGAACATAAATCCAAAAATCCTTAATAAGATACTGGCAAATAGAATGCAGAAGATCATCAAGAAGATCATACACCCTGA